TCTCTGACTTCAACTGAAATTTGATTATGTCAATATTTATTTATTTTCTTTTTAGTTTTTGTTGTTACAGAAAGTGTTGCTTCCCATTATGGTGTTAAAGATAAATGAACGTGTAATCATTTTTCTCACCGTGTAACAGTCATTATAAATACACCTAGCTATCAGTGAGGAACACTCTCAAGTTGTTGCCATAACCTAGCAATGATATCAAACCAAGGTGCAACAAATAGCAATATGTCGACTTTCAACCTTTACCTCTGACAAAGACTAGCAGTGTAGTGAAATGTCACGATCAACACATGATCAATTGGCCTGATTCTTTCATCATAAGAAAATTATTACAGTCCACATTCATTTAATTTAACTTAGGCATAAAACTGTTTTGTAATTCTAAAATAAACAAGGAGGTGTGTTTGTATGTACATGTAGGTGTGTATGTATTGTATCTTATTGTAAGTCATTTGACGTAGTGTACTTTTACAATATGCAGAGCCAAGTGTGGCTTCTTCTGATGCAACAAACATGGAGTGTGAGATTACCAGACAGGGTACTGAAATTGTTATCAATGGAACAAAGTGGTGGAGTAGCGGTAAAGAGAACAATTTTCTTGTTTTGAGTCCCTCTATTGGATTTGTGGGGATAAAAATTTTGGTTCTTTTTTTAGGGGCAGGGGACCCACGTTGCAAGATAGCCATTGTGATGGGAACTAGTAAAGCTCCTGGTCTATCAAAGTAAGCTCCTTAGTTTATTTACAAGTTTTTAAAATGAGCACAGAGTTGGAAGGCATAAGGCTAGGGTTGTTCTACTACTGTAAAAGGCAATTTTGAAGGCATGCAATAGGATTATTGCATATTGAAATAGGAAATATTCAGTGATTATTACTCAAGGGTATGTTATGTTTTTCTGAACTTGCACCAGGATCATGTTTAGCTTTGATGTAGAAACCCAGGTATATCTAAACTTCTAATGAATGGCGCTTTTGTCTTCCCTTAAACTTAAAAACATTTTCAGAGATAGGTAGAGTACTGAAAAAGCTAAGAAAGGAGAAAGCATCAGAAGAACACTTATTGATGCAGTGCCCCATGGGTGGCTAAATAGTCCTTACAGCCCTTCTATTGCTCTTGTTTGGTGAAATCTGTGAAACCATTTTTTCCAGGACTATAATAGTCAAGGGATGAGTTTCTTCTTGGAAAAGATGTGTAAAATTAATTTGTTAAAACCTTTTAAATTTCTTGAGAAGTAACTTAGCCTGGTGTTCTCTATCTTTCTTGTTTCCTATGAGAAAGCTGTATGAGGAGCCATTTCTTGTAATTATGATTAACCATCATTTCATATTAGTTTACTCCATAACTTTACCATAAAGCAGGAAAAGACTTTCTGATAGGCCTTTTTGCTTGCTGCCTCAGTATCCTTCCACTGGTTAACACCATTACCATTAGTCATGCCACAAAAAATCAAGGAGGAGAGACATTTTTGAGTCTGGAAAGCATACCCCACAATCAACATACTGTATGCTCAAAATGTCAAATCTTAGGCTACATGTACATGTAACTCTTGTAACAAACTCTTTGTATCAGTCAATCAGAGTACAGTTGATGAGATACAGGTTGTAAATTACCACTTAGATTCTACTGAGAATATGACATCCTTTGGGATGTAAAAAAGTAGAACAAATCATCATGTCATTCAATCTAACAAGGTTGTTTACACAGACATACCGGAATCAACAAAACCCTGGACCAGAACATGGATCAGATCACAGGTGGGATCATGTGTTCCATGAACCAATCCCTGATCTGATCCAGGTTTTGTCAACACCACAGAAATACAGCATTGATCCTTTCTGACAAATGTTTATCAGCACAAATAAAAAAGAGCCTACTGTCCCAGTCATATTGAATATGAGCAAGGGCTTTGCCAGTAAATATTTTGATGTTCTCTCTATGAAACAGGGCGTCATTGGGATCTCAGACACTACTTTTGAGTGATTTCAGTTTCACCTTTTTTGTATGTTTTCCATACTGCACGTTATTTTGCAGTCCTCTTGTATTGAAAGCAAATTTCTTAATTGCATAATCACCTATTTAAGTCTGTATCCACAGTCATGCTTGTGGCAGTTTTTTGTTTTGGAAGTTTTCCAGTTACTCACTTTTGCAGATTTTATATTAGATGTTATAAATGTAAGTATTTTATGCTATTTTACCTTGTTTGTATTATTTTTCTGTTTGTAATTTGTTTATCTTACTTCACTTAACAAGTAGTTATATTTTTTAGTTTCAAACTACTTCTTCTTAACCACTACCACCAGTATTAATAGATATTTGAGTTGAAAAGGTAATGCTCTAGCTGGCAGTTATGTCACTGAAAATAGCATGCATAGGTATTCATGGCATGGATATGGTTGTTCTCCTTGCAACAGCACTGGGTGTGCGATGAAAGTTGTCCCTCATGAGGCAAGTTAATGTAACCCTGGACTACAAGGCAGCAATCCAGTCACCACACCAAGCTGCAATCGAGCAAGCTGCTAGAGCAAGACTACCTGGAGCTGAAATGCCCAAGAGGTTAGATTTCACTTCCCAAAAGATACACCACGAATACTTAAGCTTCAAGACTTTTGCAAAAAAGGTTTTAGAATGCGGCGACAGGCTTGAGGACAGCAATAAAGTAAACAAAGTGCTAATGTGGATGGGGCCAGAGGCATGCATCAAACATGAGCTGCACCCATTCCCACCTGGAGACAGGGAAAAACTCACCCCGCTGTGGAACTTCTTTGACAATTTGTGTTGCATGAGGGAAGGTCGTGGAATGCTGCAAGAAAGACACTGAAGTTCATGAAACAGGAGAAGGGACAGTCAGTGGACATTTTTTACAGACGAATACGTGATTTCCTCCACCAGTGTAAGTACGATCCCGAGATACAAAAAGTCCTAGAGGTGGAAACCCCAAAATATGGCTTGATGAACAGGAAAATATGATACAGAAAGTCTATAAATTACAAAAAAGATGCAGATGCCAGTCATGTTCTCGACACTGCCGAAGCTGAGGAACAAGCTCAGACGCACATACACGAAGTGGAAAAGATTAGGTGAGACCACAACCTGGTAGAAACTAAAAGTGCAGAAGAGCTCAGACAACAAAAGAAGACCTTTAGTAAAAAGTCTAAGACTTAGCAAAAAAAACAATACAACTGCAAAAGATGCAGATGCAAACATGGTCCCAAACAGTGCCCTGCCTATGGGAAAGAATGCAATAAATGCAAAAAGAAGGGCCATTTTGGTGAGCAGTGCCACAAGTGGCGATGCATCCAGCAAGTGATTTGGCCAACAGAAACAAATACTGGTATCGAAGAAAAAATTTCATGAACGAATTGCAGACTCAGAAGATAGCGAAGCAGACTTCTCAGAGTATGACACTGACGAAGTGACAGTGCAAGTTGACTTTATAGAAGGAAAGACTGAAGAAACTAAATCTAGCAGGACGTATTTTGGCAACAAACTGCCCAAACAAGTCACCAAGGTCTATTTAGACAAAGATCAATCGCCTGCTGTATTGTATGCCACTGTTGAGCTTGAATTACCAGATGGGAGCACAAAGAAGCTCAAGGGCAAGGTCGACACTGGAGCTCAGGTGAAGTTGATGAACTATACGACATTCCGAGAAATCTTTGGCAATGACACAGAGAGGATTCTGCACGACAGTCAGGTGAAACTCATGGGCTATTGAGGAAAGTGAGTCAGGAACCATGGGAAATTCCGCATTGACTGTGTTTGACACAATGATGTTGTTGGCCGACATGTAGCATTCTTTGTATCCAATTATGGCAGTAACTTGTTCTCATTAAAGTTCACCTGTGCGATGAAAATTATCAAGATTATGTGTGAGGAGGAGACAGACTGCAAGGACTGCCATGGCCTCTTTGACATGAGTGAGGTCAAAGATGGTACTGAGGAGGAAAAAGAAGTTACCCCAGCTCCAGACCGATACTCAGCAAAATCCAGGTATTCACTACTCACTTTCAACATGCCATTTGGATGATATGCATACTAAAGGCTTCCATTTGGGCTTGTGAGTAGCCAGTATGTATTCCAGGGAGCCATTGATGAAACATTCAGTGACATCCCTGATGTCCATTGCATTGCAGATGATGTCCTAATAGCTGCAAGGACAAGGGAGGAAGGTGACTTGGCAGTAAACAGGGTCATCCAACAGTGTCAAGACTCAGGCTTCAGGCTGAAGCCAAAGAAAGCAAAGATCTTATTAGAGGAAATAAATTACTTCAGCCATAGCCTGACGAAGAAAAGATTAAAACCAGACATGAAGAAGATCCAAGGGATCAAGTGGTTGGCTGTGCCAAGGAACAAGCAGAAGCTACAGTCACTGCTAGGAATGTTCAACTACCTGGAAAAGTTTATACCCAACCTGGCTGTCAAGACGCAGGACCTCAGCGCTCTTACAAAGAAAAATGCAGAATTTGTGTGGGAAGACACACAAACCAAGATACTTGAAGCATTGAAGGCCAAGGTCAAAGATAACAGGACACTGCAGTACTTTGACCCACAGAAAGAAATCACTATTGAGTGTGATGCCAGCCAAAAGGGCCTGGGTGTGTGTCTACTCCAAGACAGCAAGCCAGTCAACTTCTCATCTAGAAGCTTGATTGATGCAGAAACGAGATATTGTAACCTGGAGCGCGAGATGCTTGCTGTCGCTTGGGCAGTTAATCACTACTGACAGTATGTGTATGGACCAAGATTCAAGATAGTCAGTGACCACAGTCCATTACAACAGATCTTAAGAAAGACACCAGAGACACACCCACCTGGCTGCAACGACGTTTACTGCGATGTCAAAGCTATGATTTCACCATCGAGTACAAGAAGTGTGTTGAGATGCACATATCAGACTGCCTTTCAAGATGTGTGCCTGTGCCGCTGCCAGTGCCCAACCAAGGACCAGTATTCCCAGAGACCAGCCAAATCAGGATATTTGAGATCACTGTGGTAAATGAATCAGACATCCACAAGTTCTGATCAACTCAAAAGAGAGATCCAGTATTCCAGGGTCTAGAACACCTATGCTAGGAAGGATGGCCAGGACACTGTAATCAAGTGTCCGGCCAAGTTGGCCACAGCCTACTGGGATTACAGACATGACATTGCAGTTATTGATGGCATCCTTGTGAAGAGTCAAAGGATCCTGGTCCTGCAGAAAATGCGTGAGTGTTTGCTCCAGAAGCTACACCGAGTCCATCAAGGTGTGGACAAATCTATTCAGAGAGCCAGAGACAAGTGGTTTTTGGTCTAGCATGACTGGACAGACCAGGAGGCTTATTCTAGCCTGCCCATCCTGTCTGGAGCACCAACCCAGACAGAAACAAGCAGCAGTTAGCCCTGTGATCACAAACAATGCCATACAGAATCTGGGTTGTGACATTTTCCAGCATAAGGGTTGATGGTACAGTTGCATAAGTTGACTATCACACAGGGTACCCGTGGGTGAGGCCAATCAAAAACCAAGAAGCAGATACGGTGATAGAACGTATTTTCAGTGTGTCTGCAGCCAGTTTGGTTACCTTACGGAGGTAGTAAGTGATCAAAGATCACAGAACACTTCCAGAGACTTCCAAGAACTCTGCTTGAAGTTCAACATTGTTCATAACCCAGGGACCCCTCACTCTCAGTGGAGGAATGGCCGCTGCAAAAATGCCACTGGGAGGCTCAAAAGGTTACTT